TCCGCTGCCTCCCCGGAGCCAGAGCTCGAGTTCCCGTCGAATGATTCTCCATTATGCACTTCTTCCTCGAGCAAGAGCTGCAAACAGCCAACAACAAGGAAATATTACCTTTCATTCAATTTCGTCGAGGCGTGAGCTTTTTTCTTCTCTCATTTCTTTTTTCCAACTTAGTTGAATAATAGATCATTTTGACCTAACTGATAAATCGCAGGCCAATTTTTTTCTTCGAGTCTGCGGAATCGTAACCTCTAAAGAGTTCCTCAGAAAATAAATAAAAAGTTATATAAGGGGTTAAAAGAAAGGTACAACTGGGGAAACGTATGTGCGTTAATGTAATTAAAGAGCAGGTGCTTAGCCTTGGAACAAATGCTTACAAGCACATAAAGAAACTTGTGACTTTTGAAAGACGAAGACCAACTTGCTCAAAGATCATTCGTTATGAGTCGAATAAATTTCGTAATAGCAATTTCACCGGTTCTAATTAAGAAAATTACGTTGACGATGTTAGGCATCTAATGAGCTAATCAAAGTTCGCAAGTTTACCTTAGCGAGTTGCTTGGCGTGATAACTATCCACGTGATTTATAAAGACACGATGGGGGATAAAATTTCTGATCGAGCCGCTGCCGCCGATCGACGAGGCCTTGAAACTTTCGTTATCGGACATCGTCCAAGAACAAGGATAAACAGGCTTCTTTGTTATGCTTCTCTCGCTGCTTTTCTTAGCCTCGGTTCATTGCGCTCGTAAGCGAGTATCGCTAGTAATGCTGCTTTTCCGATAATGCATTTGAGATTGCAATATTATCGATCTGGAAACTGTGTGGTTGGAGTCGAACTATCGATTATCGAATGATGTATCGAAACTCACGAGACGCGCGACGAATGTCTCCGGTCTCTACGAGAAAACTGGCGAGATTGCATGGGATTATGAAATCTATATGATAGCTGTTGCCTGTTGACTTTGAGCTTTAAAAGGCTTTGAGGAAACAACAATCCTAACAATGAAACTTAGAAAGTTTTAGGCCCGCTCCAAACTTAATACTAATCTTTGTTTTCTTGATATTACGAAATTGAAGTAGTTTGGAAATTAATTTATAAATTATTTTGATTTCATTTTATTTCTTTCCGTTTTTCTAACCTCTTTTCATCGAGATCATTGATTACATTTCCTGATATAAAAGCTCAAAATAGTCTGATGACTAAAAATTAAAAATGTTAAATGTTTTCAATTACATTATCACAATTTGGCAATATTATTGTTTTAATTTTGTTACAAATATTAAACAACACATTTTTAATAATTTAAAAATAACCATTTCATTGTTTTAAAAAATGTAGACTTATTTTCAACCACTTTGAATTCGATAAGATTTCAAGTTTCCACCACTAGATGGCAAGTACCTTTATCTGCGAATCTGCAAGTGGCAAAGTTGAAATAATTGTATAAATCAAAGAATGGTCTTGAAAACGTTGTTCTTTGTCAGTTTAGTTAGAACCTAAAAAAGTTCTAAGCCTCACAGCAGATTTTTGAAAATAACATAGCAAAAAAACCTCGCACTTTTGGTCAGTAGAAGCCCAGTTGTAATGGCTCTTTTATGTCCAAGGTATTTAATATTTAACCATAAATGTTTGGGCATTTCTACCAGGGTTACGATATGTTTTTTATACTTATTGGCAAAAGAAAGATATTCGGCATTAAAAATATCAAAATTCTAATCATCTTTTGAAATATCTCTTTTACAAATTTGAACGTATCATTTTTCAACCCTCATAAAGTATACTGAAATTTCTCAAAAAGGAGAGATATTTTATTTGATATTTTTTCGTGCATTCTGTTTGTTACAATATCCTTTTGAGAAAAAAAACCCATCAAACGATACTTTATAACGAATTTATGCTCACAAACATGAGCCGAGTTAATTTTTATTATTAACACGCGACGATATGCTCGAAAGTTGGGATATAAAGCGCATGTACCGAATTAAAAAATGTCGCTTCTCTTTCTCTGCCGTGCACGAAAAGAAATGCGTAAATAAAATGCGATGCGCGAAACGACGGGAGAAAAGTATGTGTATATGCGCGTGAGTGTGTGTTCAGCTCATGACCTTGCCGCGGCATATACAAGTTTTCTAATGCAGCTATCCGCGTGCAGCTCAGAAATCCCCTAGCTTTATATTTTTGCCTCCCCGTGCAAGTGGTATAGGCCGAGCCAGGCAAGTACACACACATACAGACGCAGACAGACACACATACACTTATATAGCATGGCTATGCCGATACGACGACTGATACATCTGTTACTACTGCTATAGCCATTGCTGCGTGCACGCGAGTACACGCGCATCGTCGTTTGCAAGGGATTACAGGGTCAGGGTCACTAGCCAGACCAGCTATCTGCCGCGCGGAGCGGGGTATGTATCCGTATACCTACACGTACGTATTTGCACGAGAGGGAAAAAAAAGCTACCAAGTATATGGACTAACGAGTGGTGCACACCCATATATTGTGTTCCGTGTGCAGCAGCAGCAACAGCTATACATACATATACGCAGCCGAGCCATCGGAAACAACCATCTGTACACGGACAAAGAGTTTGAGGCAATATTTGACTGATTTGTTTTACGACATGGTCGGCTGCATACGATTTTCCCCTGCCTCCTATATATGTGTTTGTTCGACGTTACGCACGATCGTCGTTTTACATTGATTGAAAAATCGATCAACAACTTGTGGATGAACGTTGCGCATAAATTACTCGACACCGATACGCGTGCGATGAATATTTTAATTTGATGGCGCATCAAAATAATTGTCATGTCGCTCTATTAATTAATATATATACGCTACGCCAAACACTTAAATGAAACTCGATCGGGATGTAGTACACGTAGAACACAAATAATTAAGATTAAAAAAATATTGAGCAATTCAGTATAGAGATTTACACTTCTACTTTGACTATCATTTTAAAACTTTTGCGCTGCATTAAACTTTTGTACAATTCATTTCAATTTTGGAGGGAAATGTAATAAAAATACATAAATTTTTTCCGCGTAAAAAAGTTAATGATATTAAAAAAGTTTTATGTAACAAAAAAGTTCGAGATTTACGCTAAGAACAATGCAAATTATTTCAGAATTTTTCGAAGCATTTTTAAAATTTGAATAATTCTATTTTAGAATGTAATAATGGTAAATCTAATTTTCATTGTTCTATCTTCAGCGAGGGAAAACCGTTGTATAAGAAAAGTCGAGCAGTGCGATGTATTCAATTAAAAGCCCAAAAACACCTGATACTCTTATCGGTTCGGTTGATTGAGGTTTATAAACTATTTTTTCGCTCTCGATATCGGTGCGCGAGATGCCGTATCTCCACTAATGACACGAGCAAAGACAAAATTATCGCAACTGCAGATCGGAGACCCTTGCGACGGAGAAGTGCGTAAACTCAGCGCGTATTATAAGCAGCGGCGTTTCGCAGCTTCAGGGTCATTCACTCGCCATGGGAAATGCCCAGACTACTAAAGTTTCAGCCTTGTGCAGCTTAACATAAATTTATATAGTATCAGCAAGCATATATGCATTTATATACACGTATATAGCTGGTGCGTATGTACTATGAACGCGGCCAGGAAGGTACCACATCCTCTTACGCTCATGTAGCGTATATACTGGCTCTTTGAAGGACTTTTGTCCATCCTCCCTGTGAGATGCTTACGCGCAGTTCGACTATCGACTAACTTTAGCAAGTCTGAGAGAGAGAGAATGAAGAGTAGCCAAGGACTATCACGTACTAGATCGTTTCTCGATACTAACGCAAGTCGTCACGAACCCGCCGTTGTCATACGGTTATTATTATCTACGACATTGGTTGAGAATACCAACATAATGAAATTTGAGAAAAAAATGTGCGCATTCAGTCGTTTAGAATAATGCTCTTTTAAATCTGCAAACAATTATGCTTTTTGTTAAATATATTACGTACTTGAGATTGTATTTCAATCAAAAATATTGTTGATATCTTTCTTGGCAGGTCCTGATTACTACGCGAATTTAATTTTAAAAAAACATGCACAAAGGATGTATGTTAATTTTTCATCATGTGTGTTATTTAACCATCGAAGTGACATGAAAATGTCATGAAACTACGTTTCATTAATGAAACCAAGACAAATGAAGTTTGAAATTAGTAATTACTTTTCCAATAAGAATTTCCCTAACATAACAATAAACAAAATCACGAATACATGTTATCTAAAATTATCTTGGTCGAGGTGGTCTTTTCATTCTGTTGTCAATCATTACGTTACCAACCATATTCTCAACGTTGTGCATAAAAACTTGTATAATATAGTCGTTAGTTGGGAGAAGCACGTGCTAATTAATTAGATTTTTTATCCTTCAATTTTCTTTTATAATTTTTCAACGACGAGATAATTTATACCTTATTTTAAAATACCTGAACATCGCTTAGTTTTAATTATAATAATAGTAAAATTAAAAGTTAACAAGTAAGCAATAATTACTCTAAACTACTACTTATGAAAATCTACTTATAATATCCACAAATTCCTAATGAGAACATCATGGACAGTCAAAAGTCAACTTTTTTCAAGATATGAAACAACCCTGACTCTTATACGTTGAAACCAACATTAAAGTTTTTCATAATTGTTTTTTATATTAAAATTTAAAAGCATCAACCTAAATTAGTAACTATATTAAATTATTTTTCCAGTATATTCAAATACATTTGAAATGTTACTCGGTAAAATGTTTCAGTATCATTCTTCTTTTCACCTTTGTTTCATTAACTATTATTTCAATAGTTCGTTAAAGTTATTTCCTTTGCCTATGTATTCTTATTAAGTAAAAAAATGATAAAAATATATAATTTAAAAATAACAACCTGCAGCCACATATTTCTATACTAAAAATTGTATATTTTATCATAGAAAAAAATTTGATTGATGGTTGAAACAATTTTTCGTTTTTTTACAGGTGACGAGTGGTCGGAAAACTTTTCTTATCTATTATTGATAGGCGCTGGCGCGGCTCTAATGGCCATGGTGCTCCTCGCAGCAGTTAGTTTTCAGTGCTCAGCAACTTGGCGTTGGCTGCTAGGAATAGCAGGTCAGGATATTTCAGATGATATAGAAAGCGATCTTTCCCAGCAAAGCGCGATTCGCATTAGCCACTCATTACCCGACCTTCAGTCGGAACCCGTAACTCATGAATATGTGCAAGAACAAAAAGATAACAAAAAGGTAACTTACTCCTGTGATGCACATCTGCAAATAATTATTCAAATGAACGCAATTTGTAAAATCTTATGATTTAATTTAAAAAATAAAGGTTCTTCGCCAAACCACCTTACCTATCGTTCCGACGAGACATCAGAACTTTCAACGTCAACTGTCGCACCGACTTGACTTACCAAACGTCAAATTTAGTGTTTGCAGCTTGGAAAATCGAAGTGACTCGCGACTGGGACTCATCAAAGTGAGTATACATAAACAAGTTGAATAATAATATATATACAAAGAAAAACAGCTCGAAACTTATACATTTATTCACTTCATATGTATTTTATTCATGATTTATGTAATTATATTCACTTTACCACTTGTACACTCGAAGGTAAAGGTACTTGCCATCCAGTGGTAAAGAGTTGAATTAGTATCATCGTATTCAGTTTGGTTGAACATAAGTCTAAAATTTGACAATAATTAAATTGTTATTTTCAGAGAGAGTTTATTTCTCATTTTCAAATACAGTATATTATGTGTAATATTACCTTAAAGAATTACACTCTCATGTACACTTAATGTACACTCTCGTTACATAAATTAAAAAATAATAAATTTTGTTTTTTTCAGCCTGAACTTTACAAAAAAGATTTAACACGCCAAGAAAGTAACGAAAGCTCGAGTACTGGTGAGATGGAAACAGCTGGAAAACTTCATTTTGCACTTCGATATGACAAAGAAATAGAAGGTCTTGTTGTCAAGGTGAATACATGCTTCACTTGACGTGCATTTTAATAAAGCCTCGCGAAAACATTGATTTTGCACATCTAGTGGATGTGAAAGATTGTCCACGTGATTCGTAAACGAATTTAATTGAATATTCCAAACTTAATTAATCTCTAAACGTAATAAAGATTATACGAATCAATTCTGTTAGAGACAGTTTCGTCTATAAAGTATGACAAGCGATAGACTCATTGTGATCATGCAACTAATCGATGAGATATAATTATAACAGTTCGCTTATGAGATTAATAATAAGATACCCAAAGTCCTTTCCAAACCTTTTCAAAAATAATATTTTTCAAAATTCATAGTAATATTGTTCAATTTTTTGACAGGTTTTGGAAGCACGAGAATTGCCTATAAAAGATGTTTCTGGCAGCAGTGATCCATATGTTAAAGTTTATTTACTTCCTGATCGTAAAAAAAAATATCAAACAAAAGTTCATAGAAAAAATTTAAATCCGATTTTCAATGAAACTTTTATATTCAGGTAATTGGAATCGAAAAACAAATTAACTATCACCTATGACTATAAAAAATATTTTCTTCTAGTGTATCTCATGATGATTTGCGCGAAAGATATCTGCAGTTTTCTGTGTATGATTTCGATCGATTTTCCCGTCATGATTTGATAGGACAGGTCGTATTGCGGGATCTTACTGATTGTACTGACTTTAAACACGAGATCGAATATACGATGGATATAATGTGTGCAACACAGGCAAGTACACTAATTAAAAAATATATCAAAGCTTTATTATTCTTTGTTAACTTTTTAATATCTAATCGATAGGATTAAATTCAATTACAAAAATGTGGTCTAATATGTATTAATGATATTTTTTTTAGGATAAAGTCAATTTGGGAGAATTAATGCTTTCGCTGTGTTATTTACCAACTGCTGGTCGGTTAACGCTTACCGTCATAAAAGCTAGAAATCTCAAGAAAATGGATATAACGGGATCCTCAGGTTTGTTGATATTTTTTATACCCATTAATTTGAATTTTAAAATTTTTTAAATTATCTTTGTTAATATTTATGGCAATTTATATTACGACAAATTCTCGTAGAGCGCTATAGTAGATTACTACCTAAACGAAAGTAGCTGAGAATTGTCGGATAACATAGCTCTTTTTTAGCATTAATTTCCTATAAGTTTTCAAAATTATTTTACAAACAAAATGAATTATTTTTAAATAAAAACAATATTTTAATTAAAAACTAATTTACTTAAATTTTCTAGATCCGTACGTCAAAGTCTATTTGCTGTGCCAAGGAAAAAGAATCAAAAAGAAAAAAACGAGCGTGAAAAAAGGTTGTTTATCACCAGTATATAATGAGGCTCTTGTATTTGACGTTCCAGCTGAAAATGTTGAAGATGTTAGTTTAATAATAAAAGTTATTGATTACGACAGGTAAGATAACAAAAACTATCTTTACTTCATGTAACAGTAGAACAGAATCGTCATAAGATAAATAAATTCACTTTTTTGTATAGAATTGGATCAAATGAACTGATGGGATGCACAGCGATAGGTGCTAGTTTTATTGGAATCGGGCGCGATCACTGGCTAGAAATGCTGGACAATCCACGTAAACCAGTTGCCCAATGGTATACTCTAACAGAAACCATTGCTGGACATATTCCATCTGCTGAACAATTACCTATTAGTTTGAGTTGTTTGACGAGAAGGTAATATTAAATTATAAAAAAACTATTTAAAATTATATTTTTTAAGAAGAAGAATTAGTTAAAAAACGTTTCGCATATGCACAGATGAAGTTGCGACTATGATGCTAGGAATCCTCCTAACTGGAGTAGTTTTCGGCATGACGAAGATCGAAGGCGACAACGACCTCTCAGAAAACAGAATAGGGTCTATAAATAATTATCAAAAAAATGATTCAAATGGAAATGCTCAAAAACTAGTATTTATACTTACGGTCGTGAAAAATGAAATGTTAGTTAACAATTATCCACTATATTAACTAATATAAAAGAGGATGTGTGGTCAAAATTGTGACACAGACAATTACGTACAAATGATACTTGAAAAATACATTTAGTACGTAAAAAAAATATCGTTGCATTATCATTTAAAGTTATTTTAGGCACTAAATAACTCTTTATTTTTAAAGGTTCATGGGAATTTGAAATTAAAATAATTTTCATTCTATTTTTCAAAAGTTTTTTTCTTCCTTTCAATTGTATTTTTACAAACTTAACTGGTGGTTATATTTAGAGCAAACTATTTCAGTTCCATCTTCGAATCATCAACTTGAAATGAAAAAAGTATGCTTAAATGTTTGTGCAGGACGAACCGTCGGTTCATTTAACGAGTGCTGAAAACGAACACAAATAAAGAAAAAAATCAACACGCGAAGATACGGAAAAAATTGTACCTCAGTAAAAAATCAAAACTCTAGAGTTTTAAAAAATACAATAGGGAGGGGAAAAAACTACTTTCTGAAAATTGAAAACATTTATTAATTAATTTTAGGGTAACGATGAGACCTCAAGCTGCAATTGTAAATTCAATCTTCGAAATCAGATTAAAGTTAAAATCAAATTTGATTTCGCGCTCGTAAACATATTTTCCTCTATAAATAAACGTTTTAAATGTGTATACAAATACCAAAATTAACTTCAGATCAGAAAGTTTACAAAATTTTAAGTTAAAGATTTAGAATCATAAAAATTAAACTTAAACATAATATTGATTAATTAAGGGAAGTTTGATTTGAAAAAAAATGTAACCACCATGTTGCAATCAATTAAAATGTCCCTAGACCATAACAAGAGTTACGAAAAAATACATAAATCTTCATTTGAAAAGGAATCCGCTGGTCTGTAAATAAAAACTTCAAGAAACCAAGATTATGATGATATACTGGCGAATAGCGAAAGACGCTTAAAACAAAAAGTATTATAAAAATAATTATCATATAATAAAAAAAAATGTGTCTTATACGATATCATGTATACGATTGGTTGAATTACATTCAAAACATCCGAAACGGATTAAAACATTTAATAAAGGGGATACCGAAGTCATGGATAAATGAAAAATTTTACTGAGATGCTCATTGAATTTTTTATCCTAGCTTCGTCATCCCCTTATAAATCAAATTATGCCATCAGTAATCACAATATTTACACTTCTTCATAAATAAATCCGACATTAAATGTCTGTCAATGCGTTCATGAAAACAAATGGTTATAGTTTCATATCAGTGTAAATATTTAATCAAGCACTTAATTGTAGAAAACTTCTCGGAAATATGTAAATGCTACAATGATAAATCAAAATCTGTAACTTTTAATTTGTCTGTAATTTCTACCTCGTTAAGCAGTATAATTAATAAGGGTTTTTGGTTATTAAAAAAAATTGTTAAAAACATTAATACATATTTCAATAGTAATTTATTTGAATAATTTTTATGCACTATTTATTAAAGTTGTCATCAAAATAAAAACCATTGCTTTTTACATTTCTTTTGAGTAGTTCATAGAAAAAAGTATTTAACTGCTAATACAGGTTGAAATTATAGTTTAAGTCTAATAAAATCTAAAATAATCATATTCAAATAATAAAAAAACATTGTAATTTTAGATCTGTCAAAAAATCATATAATTTTTTTATAGCTATGGCACATTTTTGTTGTTACTAGAGTGGAAACTACTAAATAAAACCGAGTCATATCGATTAAAAACATAAGAAATCGATATAAACTCATAAATATACTTGGTTGTAATTTACGACTGCCGTAAAATGATATTTTTTTCTTACTTAATTTGAAGATTCCGTCATAATCCTCTCGATTTATGACGGTAAGAAACATTCGTTCAAGTCTGGTTTTAGTTATAAAACACCGATAGATGTAATAATTATAAAATTGTTACATTTTCGTCTTCATAAATGTTTAGAGCAATGAAGCATTAGCAGTGAAAGGACAATAAACGAGTAAAATATTTTTGTACTCTTTCGATAAAAATTATTTCCAGTTAATTAGTTTCATAAATCTGACTGAAATAAATTTACGTGATCCACAGAAATGTGTATAATTCTCATTTTGAGTGAAAAAAATATTTTTCTTAGATAATGTTTGACAAAATTATTCCTGAAAATTTACGAAATCCTTGTAAATTATCGTTTCATATTTAAAAAATGTAGAATCACGATTAAAATATAATTTGAAAATTTCTTGTTCAATTCAATGATTATGAAAACGAGAATGAAAATTATAAGTATTCTGAAAAATATTCTCTATCAGGATTTCTAAAAGAAGTTCCAAAAGGTTTAAAACATTTCACATTGCCACATTAAAAATTTTTCCTTCAACTTGTTACTCAAAGAAACCCCCTTCGATATATTCTTATACTCGGAAGACTGAAAATATTTTTACTATCATTTATTAATTCATAAATTCCTTCTTTTTTAACTTTGTTTTGAGTTTTTTTAAATATTTAAACATTTAATCTGAAAGAAAATATGTACAGTCAATAGAGTATCCAATTCAACAGACTTCATTAATCAAATATTCATATTATTATGGATTAAAATGTAACTGATGTACAATTAAATAATTTAAAAGAAATCTCGAAACTCCTAGTAACCTAACTCTTCGATGTAAACTGAGTGTAAAAATTAATAATCGATGATTATGATAAATTATAAGTTTTTAATGCAAACTTGAAACCAACTTTAAAAAAAAAAGTTGTATTTGCTTTAGTTTATGTATTTAGTGAGTTAAGTTTAATCCAACATGGAACATTATAGAAAAATATTTTAAAACCATAGCTTTGATACTGATGATATAAGCTTGGATACAGACAGACTTTATTTTTCAAGCTTAATATGTAAGACAAACATTCAACTTTCTTACTCAATGAATCAAAGTATATATAATGCTATATTGATGATTAAAGAAAGTAAAAAATATAATAAAAATGATATGGAGACAGTTGAAATAAAAAGAAAAAAATATATATTTATGACTACTCAAGATGAAATGAAGTTGAGCGTATTTTATCAAATCATTGTAAATAATGCGTGATAACATTGTTAATGTTGATACGGATGAATAGTTACATATTTTATAATGAAATGTTTTGATTATGTCTCGCAGGTTCGATGGAATCAACCTACTATATTTCATTAAAAATGATATGAAAATCATTGAAATTATTTTTTGTTACGCTTATTATTGTGATGAATTGCATGTACTGCTGTTGTTAAAAATAAAAAATTAAAATAAATATATGGGTAAGGCTCAGAATTTTTTAAATAAACCTGCGCTCGTATGTCACCGATCTTGACGCGCTTTTGGTATGTTATAGTACATGGTAAAAAAGACCCAAAACCAAAATTTTAGACCCCCTCCCCCCTCCTACCCCCCACTTCCGGTATAAACGTCCATTTTCTATCTATATTTTTTCTGAAGGCCTGAAGCAATTAAAAAATCTGAAAAAATTCACAAAAATACTTTTCAACAATCCAAACAACCTTGAATTTTTTCAGATTTTTTGAGTGCTTCAGGCCTTCAGAAAAAATTATTGAAAATTTTGAAAATTCATATACGGCGCTACGATGCAATACAAAGCCCGATCTTTTTTTCCACTTATTTTTGACATCAAAATACATAACCTCAAATTTTTTCAGATTTTTTCAGACAGAGCGCTGGCGGTTTTTAGCCGAAAAACGCCCTTTTTTTACGAAAATAATTTTTTTAGGGCGATATGAAGCTTTAAAAAATCTGGAAAAATTTTTTTCTTGTTTTTCAGGTCAAAATACATAACCTTGAATTTTTTCAAATTTTTTAATTGAAGGCGATAGCATCTATGGCTAAAAAACGCTATTTTTATGAAAAACGGTTCCTGGAACCCAGAGGTTCCGGTAAAAAAATTTGAAAAAATTTTTTTCGAATTCCTTGTCAAATTTTAATAAATTTTGACCGTCGCAAAATTTCGATTGGAGCTTCCTAGCTCATTCTAGAGCATAACAAAGATTCGAGCGAAATTCTGAAGACGTTCATCACAATTACATTATTTTTCAAATTTCTTCAGAATTTCGCTCGAATCTTTGTTATGCTCTAGAATGAGCTAGGAAGCTCCAATCGAAATTTTGCGACGGTCAAAATTTATTAAAATTTGACAAGGAATTCGAAAAAAATTTTTTCAAATTTTTTTACCGGAACCTCTGGGTTCCAGGAACCGTTTTTCATAAAAATAGCGTTTTTTAGCCATAGATGCTATCGCCTTCAATTAAAAAATTTGAAAAAATTCAAGGTTATGTATTTTGACCTGAAAAACAAGAAAAAAATTTTTCCAGATTTTTTAAAGCTTCATATCGCCCTAAAAAAATTATTTTCGTAAAAAAAGGGCGTTTTTCGGCTAAAAACCGCCAGCGCTCTGTCTGAAAAAATCTGAAAAAATTTGAGGTTATGTATTTTGATGTCAAAAATAAGTGGAAAAAAAGATCGGGCTTTGTATTGCATCGTAGCGCCGTATATGAATTTTCAAAATTTTCAATAATTTTTTCTGAAGGCCTGAAGCACTCAAAAAATCTGAAAAAATTCAAGGTTGTTTGGATTGTTGAAAAGTATTTTTGTGAATTTTTTCAGATTTTTTAATTGCTTCAGGCCTTCAGAAAAAATATAGATAGAAAATGGACGTTTATACCGGAAGTGGGGGGTAGGAGGGGGGAGGGGGTCTAAAATTTTGGTTTTGGGTCTTTTTTACCATGTACTATAACATACCAAAAGCGCGTCAAGATCGGTGACATACGAGCGCAGGTTTATTTAAAAAATTCTGAGCCTTACCCATATACATATATATTTTTCATAATCGTATAACTGACAGTCTACTAGTATAAATAAAATATTCGCAGGAAAAACTATAAAATGTACATGTTTGGTTTATTATTGTTGTAACGTATCATTTTTGTTATCAAGATGATTTTAAAAAGTGTACAGTATCATTTATAAATTTTATGAAAATAATTTTTAAACGAAGTTATTAATAATTTATAATGGTTCATAGTAAACGTAATGATATATTTCGCCTCTCTATTTTGTCGGCTTTTAGTAATTAAAGTGATATTTTTGTATTTTAATATTGTTCGCACTGCTTACTCGTGTTGAACGAAATTTGAAAAATGTAAAGTGATAGTAGATAAATGCATGCATTAGAGTAGTATGACGAATTATATGTTAAATTATATGTATCGAATTGTTTCCAAGTATAGCTGTAGAATAAAATATGTTAAGCGGTGTAGAAATATTATATTTTTTAATTAGTTATATATCACGGCTTTGTGAATTCCGAAAGCAAGTAATGTAGTATTAGCTAGTTCGAAATTATTATGAAATACTGTAACATCCTATTTGTATGAAAAGTGATGAAATAAAAATCTGAAACTAGACTTCTCTATTTTTATTATTTTATTTTCTAAAATTAATCAAAAATCTTTTCACAATACCTTGTAATAATGACAGCTTACCAGACAGGCTTAAATTCAAAAAGAATTGTACAATTATTATGCATATCAACAATTGGGAAACTGCAAGCCTGAAACTTTTGAAACGAGTCCTATAAACATTTTGGGAATATTAATATGTATAGTTAGTATAAAAATGAGAAAAAAATCATCTGCAACATCAAATGTACTTTTTTTTATTCGACTAATTACTTTTTACAGATTATTCTAATTTATAATCTGAAATATAATTTGTTTTTGTGTCTTGTTTTTGCGTTTATTACAATTGCTCACAGCAAGATCATTATCATATTTCTAAGTATAAAATAAGCTTACTTCTTTATAAGCAGAACATTTCAAGTAAGTCTACTTCACCTCTTAAGTTCTTTATTTATTAATACATGGTAAAAATTTAATTTGACTTTTCAAAAGGTCAAAATGTGTCAAAACAAACCATAATGAATATTTGAAAAAGTCTGATACTTAAGTACTTGATTTCTAAAAACTATTTTTGCTAATGTTGTTATAATGGTAAAATCTATTGTTATAAAATATTTCTGAAATAAAGTTCTTATTTGCCAATTATACGCTCACGCTTATAAGAAACTCAAGATTTTCAAAGTTTCAACATTCAAAAATGTCGTTAAACAAATAACGTTATTATCGATTCATCGTTCTCAACAACATGCCGAATAAAATTTCACACACATCTCAATACATTTTGTATCCGCTTGTTCATAAGGAATACCAATTAATTAGTATGATGTGAACGCGAAACTCGAACGTTAGATGTCCTGATTGCTCAAAAATACTAGTTCATGTATTTATATATGTATAATCAATAATTGATTGTATCTTATAATGCTCCACAAATGACTTATTAATGACAAGAGTAGCTGCCTATTTTAACAACTTAAACTATTCGCTTTTTTATTTTAATTCTTTTGAATTTTCAATATTAAAATTGCAGTTTTTACTGTGGCCATAGTAACTTAGTGATGGCATTTACTTTTTGAAGAATTATTGAAAATTACTATACGACATTTATTATCTTCATTGCCTAATTACGTAAATATATATATCTATATATTTATTTTTTACCATATTAGCATGGATGGATTTTATCAACAACTTTATAAACAAACGCATATAAAAACCACATTCAGCGATTCACATGTTAATAATCCTACTCTCATCTTTACAATTTAGATCACGGATGTGCAATTTTAACTTTTTTTGTTTTTCTCAACATTATTCGGTGCATTAAGAAAAATGATTGGATGCAGCCCAATATAAGCAACGCAGTTCTTCATTTTTTTAGGACATAGAATGTCCCAGTACATTTATGCAAAGCATAAAATCAACTGAACTAGCTTCACCAATAAAAAATTAATATTCATTTTTATAAAGTATATTTATTTAAATGTATAAATCCACTCGTTTAAGAGTTCATAGCCAATTTTTCTCAAACTTGATTATTAATTACAATAAAGATTGTACATTGCACACCACCAAAAAAAATTTAATATCAAATTTATTACAAAATATTATAAAGCTAAACAAGCAGTGTTATTTATTTTTTATTAACACAAATGTTACTTTATTATCCTAAAGTTTAACTTTCGGTATATTACAATAATGAACGTCGCAAACAATAAGTTTTGACTAGTATGCAAAATTATTGAAACTTTCGTCGTTACGTCGATTTTTTATCAGACATCAAAAGAATAAAAAATTAATACAAACTGATATAAACTTGCAATAACTTACATTACTAATGAAACAATAGGCAAATATGTCCAATACTATAAAAATGTACCATAAAATACATTTGTTTGATTAACCTAATCATTGCACAATTAATTCCCGTAGATTTTAAAATGATATTCATTTGGAATGTTTCATTTTCCTTTTACTCAAAGATTAAAAATATCGTAATTAATTAATTAATTAATTGAATTGTACAATTCTAAAACGTTTTGAAAATTATAATAAATATCAACAACAATATAATTTAGTAAAATATTTTCATCTAATTAACTACAATCACTTCATCGATGCTGAAGTCATACAGCTTAAGTAATTCAAACTAGTACAACGAATAGGACAAGGTGTGCAATAACAACGCTTATCCATCTTAGCAATGTGAAAAAAGATAGACGAATTTATATTTTAGTTATTTTTTCCTCAAAGTGTATTTTCTATTTTACCACTTTATTATTTTTTTGCATAATATAATATTTTTGCATGAGTCCACTGACTTAATATTATGTTACAGACTCCGTTTTACTGAAGTGTTTTCTTTTAGGTATGATTATCTTTTATTTTTTATTTCGTTCAGTTGCGAAAACATTGAGCAATATCTTCACAAAGTTAAGTTGGACGGCACTGATAAAATTAGGATCTCTTTAAAGGACGTGTAAATGTTAATGCTCAAAACGGGCTGTGAAATAGTTTATGAGAAATTTGAATCTCAATTTAACTTGTGAAGCTTTTGATGCACAAACCCTGATATTTATAAATAAGCTAGTTTTGCCATAAAGATCGAAAAAATCAATCTTCAAACTTGAATCACATACCGTTTTACTAAGTTTTCATTTAAGTACATAATTATATCAAGGCAAAAATGAATAGATTTTCATGAAAAGGTGAATATTTTCTAAAATACTCCTCGTATCGATTCTGATTAACGTTTAAGTACTATTAAGATATTATTGTGATTCAAAACTTGGAGATCGACTTTAGAACTTGCAATCTCAGCATGATCATTTATTATCAAATTTCAATATAAAATATTGATCTTTACTTTTAATAAGCTTAACTATTCAAAATGATTAGTAATCGCAATCGGCGGCAATTTTACTTCGGCATTAAATAAGTTTTACCGATATTTTGATGAAGGCGTTTCGCAATACATAGTACAAGTATATTTAATATATAATATTTATATCATTTATGTCATTTTACATGGTGAAATATATATAGGGGAAAGCGGGGCACGTAGACTCACCTAACTAAAATGCTCAATATAAAGTTTGTAATAAGAATAAATGAAAATTTAAACAGACCAATATCAAGATGAGAAGTCAATGAATACAATGCAATAGTCAAAAGTCATAATTTTTGCATATTAATTAAATGACAACCAAAATAAAGGAAGCGTTGAAATCAGTGCTTCTTGCCCCAGCGTGGGTAAGAGTAACTGGGGTGCGGGGCAAGAAGAGCGCACTAGAGAAGTAGGTTGCTCATGCTTGATACTGTCTGCGCGCACATTGTTAATAGACGTAATTTGTTTATGAACTGAAAAATTATGAAAAAAGTTGAATACATAAACATGTAAGTGTAAATTTTTAGCTATGATTCAAATTTTTACAACACAAAATCTCTAAAATATTCAAAAAATTTTTTATTCGAAAAAAATCGAGTTTAGAGGATAATCCTCGAAATTTTCTGAGATGACCTTAGAAAATTAGATTTTCCGTAATTTCGGGAAATAAACAATCTTCTCCAAAAATATTGAAAAAATTTACGGATGTTTTTTAATTAATTATACAACTTATTCGTTCTATTTATTACTCAAATCAATCGTTTTTGCGATAAAAAATAATTGGATTTTTTTGTATAAACAATTAACTTCGGGAATGCCGTTTTGCTAGAAAAAGCTAATTTGAAAGTCTGTGAAAATTTCTGAGATACAATTACACTATGACAAACTTTGATCATATTTATGGAATTTTTCATCGTAAAACTTTGAAAATCATTTTCAGTTTAAGTTTTGCAGAAATTTTTACTGCTTGTTTTGTTTAGATATTCATAGCTTTTTTACTACGTTTTTAATCCTAAATCTGAACCCGGATTCGAAAAAGGCATTGAATTTCATACTATCATTGTGAAATTAATCGTTTTTGTATTGAGTTAATAATTGCGATCGGCGACGAGAAAAACAACAACACGGTAAATATGAGGTCAAGTTTGAACGAAAAGTCAGCAGACCGCCGTCACGAATCGTCGCAATGCCTGGCGTACCGCGACACTAATGCCCCGCTTCAGGCGCTACTCTTGCCCCATTAAGACATGTTTTTAAAAATTAAATATTTCATAAAATATTGCGTTTAATGAAATTTTGAAAAAAGCCTTTTCATCGGGAAGACATGACTGTTCTTATGAAAAAAAAACGGTAGCATAAAAATCATTATCAAAAAAGATACAGAAGTGTGAAATAAGAAATTTTTGTAATAATTTTAGCGTATTTTTGTTTCGAGTTAAAATTAATAAAATAAACGTTTTTTCGCGTCGTTTTTGCATGCAATCGATAGTTACAAGTATATTTCAACAATAAGTGGGGAAAAAATTTATTTAAAAAATCATTATCATTGAAAAAAACAAGAAGTCGTATTACCCCGCAAGTTACACTTGCCCCGCTCTCCCCTATACATGAAACTCGTAAAGCATTTTACCAAACTCACATGTTTGTTTTGAAGCATAAAAATAATGATACAGAGTTTGGCGTTTTTATGATGTAATTGCAAAATAAATGTTGAGTTTCATAAATAGTCGATTTTTTCGATAACTTATCGAGCTAGATGAAAAAACTCTTCCTGCATGATAAGTTTTAAATCAACGTCTTCATAATTGACTAGCGTTGTATTTTCACTCATTTTTGTTTCGACGGAAAAGACTCTTATCGACATTATTCTAAAACTATGCTCTTTCAATCTTAACTTTTTATTTGGCAATTTGGGCTCGAATTTAATTCAAGCTGAATCAAACATTCATGGATGGATCATGAATGTTTATCTTTAATATTTTTCCAACACTGTTTCATCGGCTTAGTGTAAAAAGATACCTCAATAACGCTGCTGAAATTCGTGGTGCCACCGATTGAAATCAATATGGAAAATTACAATCGAACCGTTTGCGAGACCAGCAAGAAGAAATCTGTCAAAAAAATGAATAAAAACAATAAGTAATTAACAATTTGCACCGTTAAAATATAAAAAAATTTCATACCTTTGATCGTGAGATAAAGCAAGAGAACGAACACTACTCTCACACGCTGGGAAAGCATACAAAAGGGCTAAATTAAATGTTCGCCACACTTCCACGATACCCTTGTCTCCTCCTGTCATTAAATACTCTCCGTCTCGGCTTAGTAAAAGACACTGAAATATTAGAAAATTAAATATCGATCTTTGGTTCGCTTTTTTAATTCTAGAAAAATGTCGTAAAAAAGTCTAGAGAAATTACCTGTAGATTATCATTGTGTGATTCGTAACGTAAACGTTTTCCATTGATGGTGAATGCCGCGATGTGACCACGTTCATAATTTACTACAATAACTCCTTCTCTTGACATTGCAATATTTTCCGGGGAGGAAAACCCAGTTGGTGGTTCCAACGATCTCAATAAGTCACCAAATGTCGTGTGCACCAAGACAGGGCCAACTGTTGAAATTGTTGAAAGATAAAACAGCGTAAGAAATGTCTAAAAAAAAAAAGTATCATTCAAACTTACAGCTTGATCCCGATACAACGAGGCCCAATTCAGCCGAAATAACGACAGCAGTGACGGGTTGCTCGTGTCCGGTTAGTGTTGCACGAGGTGCAGGTGCTTCGCCTTCACCGACGATTGTCTGTGTTCTAGCATTCCAATGCCACAGTAAAACGGTGCAGTCAGCACTGCCAGAGGCGATGTAGCAATCCGACGTGATATTGCACTCGCTTCGTGACAAGCACGTAACGACACCGTAATGCCCGAAAATTATTTGAACTATTTTGGCTGGAAATTTCAATCAATTATCAATTAGTAGATATTTTCCCGTGTAAAATACTATTAAGATGACAAGATAATAACCTGTTTCAGTAGAAAATACTCGAAAACTATTGTCCCAAAAGCCGCAGGCTACGAGGAAGCGACTATCGACAGTCGTAACAAAACAATTACTGCGGATCTTTAATTTTTGACTGAAATTATCGCCCAAGTGCCGACGCTGGGCAGGATTTGAGCTATGAGCTGTTTGAGCTAAATAATATTGATAAAAAAATTGAATTTTAGTAAATAGAAGTGTGAATAGTGGTGAAAAAACATTATACTAAAATTAGCAACACGTACATAGCATTGCATCCATGGACAGAGGTTGGTTTGCAGCTTGTGCTTGAGGTGTATCAGCATAACTCGGCGATTGTACAGAAGCTAAAAAGTATTTGCCATAAGTAAATTATCTATTAATTTGAATAATAAAGTAGTATCTATAATTACCAGCATAATTGGTATTCCATCTGTTGACTGCAAATTGTTGTCCCGTAGTGACAGTAACCACTGATGGTAGAGGTAGTTGTGGATAAGTATTTGCAGATATATGACAGATTGGGGAGTTTGATGGGAATTTCAATGTCATGCAAACATCATCGGGTATACTGGCAAACATCATTGGAGACTGAAAATGTAAAAATGATTTGTTTTAATATAAAATGTAAACTTTTAGTAAATCAAGTTTCCTGTTGATGAATTACTTACCAAGTGCATTGCTGAACTTCTCGGAGGATGTGGCTCCATAAGAAGCTGTGACGGCGTTTGTCCAAAGTTTCTTATTTGATTTTCAATTGCTTCTTTCATGACTGGATCAGTTATAGAATCCAAATCTACGCTTCCTTCATAGGTCAAGTAGTAAAAAACGTTGGTAGCACGCACTGCCTCTGGACCTAAATAAAAATTTGTAAATATTTAAAGGGATTAATTTAATTTTAATTGCAAATCTGCGTGAGAATTTGAAAAAAAAAACTTTCTTTTGATTTGATGCTATTTAAAAGTATAAAATTTATGGCGAAAAATTTATTGCGCGAATAATCTATTTTGATACCACTCTTGAGTCACTTCTTCGATTTTCTTATTTTTCATAAAAATTTTAGTACGCTTTTCGTATTTTTTAAAAATTTTTGATTAATTTTTTTTTTAATTCATTGTAAATATTTAATTTATAAGTACTTATTTCATCTATATAAACAGAAATTTAAATTACTTATTTTCAACTGATTATTATAGTAAGAAAAACTATTTTAAAATAAATAAAAGCATCACAAAAGTTTCAGCAAAAAATAGAAGTTCAATAATTTACTGAGAATTAGTCCAAAATATTCCGTGACATGCTTTCATACATTTTTTGATATCTTGATCGTTTGCATAATGCTCCGAATAATCTTTTTTAAGTATTGATAAATTATTTGATTATTCTGTAAGTACATAAAGTAAATTGTTACATAAACAATTAACAGAAAATAGGGTGCTCCGCATAAATTGAGCTCTCGCGCTGAAAGAGTTTAAATATTCTTAAGTGACTCTATTTCCGGCCGGACCGAGCTCGCGTTGTCTTCTTCGTGCCATTTATCTCGCATAAGAGTGAGAGAGAGCTACGCGTGTCAGCGGCGCACGTGCGTGGGAGAAGCAAGTTAAGATACATTCAAATCCCTATAGCTAAAGTGTCGTGCGTGCTCAAGCTTAATTAGTGCGGACCGATGCGGCACTTGAAAAAAATCATTTTTTTCCTACTTTTGTCGCATGCAAGCCGAGCTCGAAGAAACTCGGCGGATATACAGGCGCCTTTGAAATTATCTTCAAGTTTTGTACATGCATGAAAATGACGTATATTCGTGCGAATGACACGACAAGTTTTTTTGCAGACTTGCTTGCTAAATACTTCCATGAGAAGTATATTATTGTGTATTAAAAACGTCATTTCAAAGCTTCCGTTTGATTTACCTTTTTGCTTGTAGCCGAAAATCAAATCTATCCATTGGTGCAATTGACAGGAGACAAACTCAGATTCCAAAGCCTGCAAACAGAACGATAAATAAACAAAATGTTTTAGATAAAAGATTTATAAATAGAATGAGCTAATATACCATTCTATTGATACGTGTGAATTCTTCTGGAGTATTGGCCCAAGGTGGAAGTTCAACGTCCCCAACAGAGCTACCATCTTCTTGGCGACCAAGTTTGTATCGATTGGTATTCACAAACATTTCCGGGAGAAAGAAAAACTCCGGAATCAGTTCCTATAAAATTAAAAAATATTAAGATACTATTTTAACATTTTTTAGAGCCAAGTGCCAATAAAGTAGTACTATTACCTTTACGTCGGATGTATCGCGTTGACAATTTTTCCATGACAAAGCAATGGAAGAAAATAATCTATTTGGATGGTCAAACTTTCCTCCTTGAAGGGCCAAAAACATCGTCGTCATGGGTTCCTGAATTTTAAAATTATGAAAACATTTTTTAAATGAATTATCAGTTATTCCTTCTATGAGATGTTAATTCATTACAGATATTTCTTATAAAAGAAAAGAAATAAAGTACAAATATTTTTGAAACCAGTTTCCCAATATTTCTATTAAATTTTTTTTCAAATAATCAATGATTCCTTACATTGTATTATTCTTTAGAGGGTTTCAAAACGGGTTTGAAAAATTTTCATCTTTACACTAGCTTTGTGATCCTCTTAAGTGTAGAGTATTAATGCACAGGCATGAAGTGGAATCGGAAGATAAAAAGTAGATTCTTCTGTCAGTGAAAAGCAAGAGCTATCATCAGAGTAGTAACCACTTAAGAAATAATTTATACTCTTATAACATATACCAAGTTAAAGGTATAATATCAATCACAGTTTAAAGTTATTTATCGACGATAAATCAGCACTCGAGTAGATTAAAATAAGAGCTTAATTAGTTTAAAAATATTTTAATTTTTAACAATGATTGAGTGAAAAGTATGTAATTCTCATTCTGATTCGTAGAAAGCACGTAATACTGAGAAAAATTAAAGAGCAAAATGTACAGTCATGAGTCACAAATTTCAACATCGTTTACTGGTATAAATGAGGCAGAAAAGTCAATTATAGCAAAAATGAAAAACCGTGTATGGTGCGAGTTAATGAACTACTAAAATTTTACATTGCGTGAACGAAAAATTAAGAAAAAAAAGAGAAACAACGCATTCCCATGTTATACGGTAGCTAATTACAAAACGACAAAATGAGAAAAAACATTTGGTTCCCGAGAAAACGATCCTGTCAGCGCTGGCCTGTCGCTCGATTGCTATAAGAGAAAAAGAAAAAGAGAAAAAGAAGCAGCGGCAGCACAAGTCCTGGCACGAGCCCAGAACACGCGAGCCGAAATGAAAAAAAAAACAATTAAAACGAACAGTGAATAAATCTCCTCCCTCGCACGCCCCAAAATTAGTGCAAACGTCAAGGCCTAGCGCCGAACTCGAGCATACGCGTATGTATATAATGAACATGCTAGCACACATGCTCAGATACGCGATGCAGCAGATTTACGAGGCCAAAAAGGAAGAAATCGGGAAAGAAACGGTGAACTCTAGGGACGGCTCGTCGACGAGCGGAGTAAAAAAAGTATCGATTTTTAAGATACTTCAGTTTCGACAGTGCTTACCAGCCGGATGAGCCAATTGAGAACGAAAGCCGCCGTAGAATAGTGAGTGCCGTAATGGAACGGTAATATACTGTCGTGCTCCCAGCTCTGATAACGCTCCTCGAAGTAAGCCCTTCTGCTCTGGTTGAGAGCTCCGATGGGCTGAAATTTAATATTTTTATCGTTGAATAAATTGACTTTTGAAAATTTCATCTACGAAGACTGCACGTAACCATATACTTACTTTGGATAGATCTCTGTAATTGGTGGGCTGGCTCAAGTCCAACTCCTTCGATTCGTAATTCGTCAGTACCCATGGAAATACCGGATACTGGTTGAGGTCATTGTAGGTACGTCCTGAAAAAATTAAAAAAGACACACGTTTTAAAATTTGCAATGCAAGTTTGAATAACATATTCTCTAACGTGCGCGAGCACGAAATACTCGATTAAGCTCGTCATCGTTTCTGTCTACCGGAGAGTTGTTTCCACGTCGTTGAGTCTCTCGTAAATGCATCGGCTTTGAAGCGAAAAACACACCAAGTAACAACTTGCGAAGAAATTTCCATAAAGCAACTTTGAACTGTATTCGTACGTTCTAGCGCGGCATAGCTGTACAAGCGCCCGCGTATGAATTCAACATTTATAGCATTGAGCATTTAGGGGTATACACACAGACACGCTCGCGGAGAGAGGTAAAAGTCGCATGGTACGTGGCTAGCTAATCGCTCTTGAAATCTCATCAAAAGTACATACGCAGAAGCCAAGACTCTGTCTGGCTCGCCCTTTCGGCTCGTCGCGCGATGCATTAGCGCGTGTACGAGAGACGTCGACTCGACGCGCTCCCTTGTCAACGCGGACTTCTTTTATCTTCATCCACGTATACGTTTCGCGTGTATGCATCGGCGCTTCGAGAGTTGCTGCCACCGCTACTTCCATAGCGTTTTCTGTATACGTTTCTTTTCTCGCTCACTTTGGCTAATTAAAGCGCGCGACTCTCCCTTTATCATTGCGCTTGCACGAAGTGTCAACGGCGCTGTCTCGTCACGCGGCGCACGGAATATCGTAGAAGAAAAAATTAAACGCAGCTACTTGTTCGGAGTAAGAGCTACTTCCTCTTTCCTCGAGTGCCCCTTTCCAAAACCTTAACGGATTTATATCAGTTTTTTAAATTTTCAATTGTGAATAATAGTTTTTTTTTTAACGTAGAACAAATGCCGGATATTAATCTTTCAAATGCTAGAAACTGTAAGAGGCTGCGAGAAAAGTGCCGATTTTCAAAAGTCAAACAGATGATAATAGCTCTAAGAGGTGATTATGAAAATAAATGAAGCCAAAGAACAATTAATCAATGTTTCTGGAGGTATTTATTTTTCAAATAAATAAGTAAGTATTTCAAAGTTCAACGCGCTCGCGATATATGAATCGAGCAAATTGTAAGTAAGGAAGAAAGATCGGTTAGTTTTGAAGTGGCGCTTGTCGCTATTTTATTCGCTCACTCGTTCACGAGCGTATTATATGTTTGTACAAGGAACGAAAAACGAGCGTGGGCGATCCGCGCACGAGCGGCGCCTTTTTTTCTTCCTTTTAATACTGTTAATAATTTCTCGCCACGCTGGTCCGCCTTCTTCTCTTTCCGTCGTGCCATTCAATTGCTCAGTCTGTGTGTGTATATACTTTGCCATAAAATGTGTACGTGTGTATGTGTCTACAAAACGAGACCCACCAGGGAGAAAGAGAGAGATAGAGCACGATATCCAGCTGCATCCCGCTTGCATCTCTCGATTTTTCTCTTATGTTTCAGCGTCTTTTTTTAGCCGCGAGCGTAATGTTGCTTATAGTGCGAAAATTAATTGGATGTATCCCTTTCGGTTTGATCGCGTGCTTTGCTTCCACCCGGAGCACGACTCGTACATATACAGCGCCTCTCATGCGACTCGAATATTTATCTGCTCAAATTTACAGATTTATTTTACAAACATCATCCTCGAATAAAATCGGCTAATTTAGCTCATATCTAACGCGAAGCTATTCATCGCGTAAACTGTATGCAGTTAAAAAGAAGGTAAAAAACATGCGTTTCGTTTTTTTAACTGATCTTATCAACGTAACTGATAATATTGGGGAAAAAAGTAACTGTGAGTAGGTATTCATTTTTAAGGGTAACTGAACTTTTTTTATAAAAAAAAATTCATCAGAAAAATAGGATAAGTAAGATCTGTCTTACTCCCTAAATAAGAAAAAGCTTTCAAAATAGCAATGTATTATTCACCAGGTAACAGATAATGTAATAAGAAATGACCAAGGGAAAGATTGATGCTTTTTGTCAATGCCATTGCAAGAGAAAGCACGTGTATAGAAAACAATTAGGCTGGCATGATAAATATATCATTATTATGTATTGGTCCATCGCTGGACCGACGCCAAGCCATCAGTAATAATGAACAGTCTCACAATTGGATCACCTATCATCATTGTAGTGGCGTAATGAAACTCGAGAAAAGCGATTAGTAGCGCTGATTAGACCGCCGTCGAGCCACGCGTCGCACGGCCCCCACTCGAGATGTGCGTGTGCGTATCCCGCACGCATGCACACATAAAAACACGCAGTGCGTATTAATGTTGACGAAATCGCCGCGGGGACATTGGGGCGCACGCGTGATTTGTCGAGAAAAAAAATCATGCCTCGATGCTGCAAAACCATCCGAGCTGCGCAGAAGAGGAAGGGAAAAACTTGTCAGGAGCTGCGTACGCGGAAGGAAAGCCGGTATTGCTGTATTACGAACAGCGGTAAAGAGTATACGAGGCTCTCTCGAGAAAGATACAGTAACGGAGCGAAGAAGAAAGATATGAAAAAGAGAAACAAGAGAGAGAGAGAGAGAGCCCCTGGGATGTGGAGAGGATTACCAGTGGCGCAGCGCGCGCAGGCTGGGATTACTCGCGGGACGCGCGCGCGGGTCTGCCAGGGCAAAGCTCTTGATTGAGAACCTTCCTAATGCAGCACGACAGACTCCATCCGCGCGTGCCGGCCCAGCAGCAGCCGCAGAGAGGCCATTTGCTCTCTATGTTTCTATACCGCCGTATATAGTAAAGAGTGCAGTAGCAGTAGCGGTAGCCGCGCCCGATGGCATAGTCGCTGCGAAGAAACCCCTTTACCCTTGCGCTCTTCTTTGCTTTGCTATTAACTGACGTAAACGTGGTATGCTCCAAAACCGAGTCAATGGGCTATGCTTACGTTTTTGCAAAAAAAAAACCATCGCGAGAATTTAAAATCAAGTAAAAAGTTTTTGTCTACGCTACCTTTTTCTAAATAATACATGAGAATCGCGTTAAATCGAATTTTGATATAAGAATAATTTCACGTCAATTTCTCAAAGCCAAGCCAGCATAGCATTATTAGGCAAAATTGCTAATAATGCAGTATATTTGAAATATTATTGAAATTATTTCATCAGTATACATTTTTTAACTCGAAACCTTAATAACTCAAAAATAGCTCGAAATAATATATTTTATTTCTCAACGATTCAAGTTATCATGATTTCATTGAATATTTTTATTGAACAATTCATTCTTACCGGCAATAGTATTTAAGAACATGATGTACTCAAAGTTGTTGATCTCGCGACGTTGCCATTTTTGCGTCATATTTGAGTTCCTCATCAGCTGACGGGGTGACATCATAGATGCTCTCCTGTGAACATTTTATAATGAGAAATTCGTGAGTCGTTAGTCAAACGGATATACCGTTGGTCAAATTCATCAAATCGTGTAAAAAACGCTCGAATAACTGGCGATTAAAATATTGTTCTACTTCTTGCCTCTCGTGCGTGCAACCTCAAAGACCGTGTTTATTGATTTAATACAAAAAGGCCTTATGAGTAAGCGGTGGCATTCCTCCCTCACACTTCTCTCTATCTAAGATGAACCGGTAGCAAATCGAATGAGCCTTTTTTTTAACGTAAAAACTCGAGCGTGCATCAAGCATTTCTCACACGAAGCGAATGCCTCAGCGCTATAACGATCGGCCCATTAAAACGAGATCGCGAAATGCTTCTAAGAGAGAAAGAGAGAAAGAGTAAAAAATCTGAGAGAACGTGAGAGAAAGAGACAGAGAAGACGCGGGCGATTCAATAACCGGCAGCACGAGCAGATCGAGATCAAAAATCTCTGAAGTTGTAAATTGTTTCTCGCGTATCTTTATCAATTCGTGAGTCGAGGTGTAACGAGGTACACACGTTCGCAGTTTAATGTCCTGCAATAACGCAAGTACTCGATCGAGATGGTGTGTAGTATAAGACTCGAAAACCGGAAGCTATATGCGAGAATTATTTTGGACTTTTGCAGAACTGCCTTTTCAATGAGAATCTATGAGAGCTATTTGAACATGAATCGCCGCACAGTTATTGGGCACGCACGTGTACGAGAGAGACAGAGACAGAGCACGCACGCAGTCCATGAAAACGAGCATACTTTATTATTTTCATCAGTAAAGAGTCGCTCCCTCGAAACGTTGAACGTCGAGCGAGCGAGAGAGCTCACGTCTTATATTTATGGTCGTCTTGGCTGCACTGGCCGATTCGCTTCTGCCTCCCCTTTTTCTCTATATACCTCGGACTCTCTTATACATACTCTCCTTCTCTTTCTCTCTTGCTGCTGCTGTCTTTTTCCACCCGTCCCCTCGAATCTCTCGCGAGTAATGGATGCCTCGCTGCACGCGAGTTAACGCTGCCGCCGCCACCGCCGAGCCTCTGTTCTCACCGCTGTTCTCTCTCTCTACCTTGTACTTTGGCAATCATTTTGCGACGCGAGCGAGAAATGTAAAGAATAGCCCATAGCCGAGAGAGAAGGAAGGGTGAAGCAGCACGAAAAAAATAAATATATGAGTAAGATCGCCCAGCCGGATAAGGGTTAACGCACAAGAGCGCGAAACTACCGACCGCAAGAGAAAAGCAAAGCTAGCTTTCGCTTCTAAGCACGATCGTGTGTGTAGCTGCATGAAAAACGATCGAGGCCCGATAGCATCGGTGCAGTTTTGAAATCATACCTTCTCTCGAAATAAGATTCAAGGCTTTATCAAAATCAACCTGTTCGTGTAGCTTTTGCGGTTTGATTTCATAAGTACGAATAATAGATCGAATAAATAAAATTACACGTTCGAGCGGTCGATAATCATATTCAACGCACTGAAAACAAAGCTATGAAAAAAAACACAAATTAACCGATGCAACCATGCAAAAAACTGAATGGCTTGAAAAACAATAGAAGCGATCAATTTCGGAGAGACAAGAATCACGCTATTCACAGATGGTTTAATATATTATGCTTGGCCGCTCGAATGAGTCTTCTCAACGGACAAAGAAGAATAGGAATGAAAGGATTATACCTTGTTTGCGGAATTCCGTATTTGATGCCTACGCCAACTCGTGGTAGGGCCTTGATCACTTTTTTCACGGTGGCTTGATCCGGAAATACGAAAAATATCGATGCTGAAAAAGAAATTGGATCGTTAATATTATTTACGAAATTTCATTCGTTGATACTCGTAGATATAAATGTTCATCAATTTAAAAATTAGAAAAAATAAAGTAATATTTTATTATGCATGTTATAAAACATTTTACGTACTTCGACTTGCTAAGAAAATTTCTATAGCAATATTTTGTAGTAAATATCTGCGGGAAAAGATTGCTCGAACTTCTGAGAAATACCATTTTCCGTGCAAATGATCGCAATATTTTAGCACCTGAAAAATAAAAGAAAATCGATTTATTATACAGTGATCTTACGCTACTATTTTTGTTATTTATACTTATAATTTTAAATTCAGACAAATAGAGAATATTGTCAACGCAGTAAATCTCAACAACTATTTGGATATACATTTTTGGAGTATACATTTGGAGTAGAATAGTAAAATACTAAAGAGTTTCATATTTTACGTATTAGTAAAAAAAAACAAAAAAATGGAAAAAAAATTTTCAGAGGCAAAATAAAATAATTCAAACGTTATATAAATGACTGTATAAAAGCGCGTACAGTGAAATAAACTTAATTTATGAGAATTTGCGCAAAATGGCTGCCTAAATGGGAGGAGCTTCTATTCCTTCAAGTCTAGAATCGATTGAGTGAGCTTGCACTCCCATAGTCATTTGTTTTTTTCTGATTTTCACTTTAGTTCAGTGGAGCTTCGATTATAAATTATAAAATAAAAAAGGTCAACGGTTGCATTTTTTTCAGAGCTGCAGTACAAATTCTGCGTGTCAATTATCGTGTAAAAGATAATATCATTCCGCGATGTAAAAAGCATAAAGAATTTAAATCCCATTCATATATCTCTAAAGTACAAGAAATATTTGAGAGATATAAAGGTTTTTCAAGATTTCAGCATGTAGATAGCAGCAGGTACGGATACCCTCAGTTTATACGCATAATTTATAATAAAGATTTTACGCGTAGTCTGCTCTTCGCACTGCATATACATAAATTAACCCACAAGTTGGAGCTTGGCGTGAATTCAGAATTTATTTACCTCTGACTGTAACTATGATAATGTCAGGTATTACAGTTTTTATTTTGATCCCAATGCATATACATCGGATCCCTGTTGCAATACACAATGTGATATACGAATAAAAGTAATTTTTGTAAAAGTTAATGACAAATGCAAAAAGACAAATTAAGAAAATTCTCAATAGAATTAGGATGTTTTCATCTTGGAAATGTAAAAAGCCAATTACTAATATGTCAAGTGCTCGAGTGTCACTTTGCCCTAACTACGTATGCTATATAGGCCGTCCCTCGAGAGAAATCCGACGAACAAACCGATCAGATGGAAATAGTCGGCGGTGACGTAGGGATTTTGTCCCACGAAGTGAGCACGGACTCTCGGGCGCGCAGCAGCAGGGCCGAGCGCACGACTGCTATTTTTACTCGTCCGGCTCGTATCGCGTATTTTACAAACGAGGTCTCAATAAAATTGTGTTTATCAAGCTCCGCCGCTGACTTCCTATACGCATAAATTCACACGCATCGACTAATTCATTCTCGACTTTACGTAAGATCGTACAGCAGCGGTCACTAAATAGCTAAAATCATCGCCATAATTCTTTTTTTTTTTCAAAGCCTCGCATCACACGCCTATTGTAACAGCTCAGAGTCATTATGCTTAATTATGTTTTCAATGTAACGCCAGAGAAAAAAGGAATATACGATTTTGCGTTGAAAAGGCACGAACGCCTCGAGCATATGGCCTCGGGGGCCATTGCGACAAGTGTATTTGTACGCGGCACGAGATTCGTGTCGCATCTTTTTCTCGACCCTTTGGTCAAAACGAGAACAAGCTGTATACACGAAGTGGCGCGCTTCATTATCAGATAAGGGGATTGCCGACTTACGTATACATACAGTCAATGCGGGGCGTGCAATGTATACAAGGGTGCTGCTGCTGCTGCTGCTGCTGCTACTACTGTGCCTGGAACTTCATCGATGAGATAGGTCACGCGCGTTAATACTTTGCTCCGAGCAATAACGCTATATTAAGCGTGAGATAATTATTCCATCGATTCGTGAATGAGCATAATGTATACTCGAATGCGTGAGCCTCTACGATTAAAAAGTGTTTTATATCTAAGTCGTTTTAGGTGTCCCGACCGAGCCTATCGAAACACACCGTTACGATAAAGAGCGGTAAAACGTCAACAATTGAAATTTATCGCGCGCTCTAGAATCGAAAAATAATCATCATTGATGCAGTCGCTAATCGAACGTTCGTAAGTAGAAATTCAACAATTCACTGCTACGGTACAATCGGTCCATTTTCGTGTCCATTAAGGTAGAGACGATTGGCTGCGAGAGAGCATCCATCGGTATAGGATATATATACACACATTGTGGGCTAAAGAGTGAATTTATATAAGAATACCGAGCGTGAGCACGAAGAAGAGAAAAAAAAGAGAGCCGCGCGCAGCCAAGTGTGTGCCTATATAATGTAGCTCTGCTGCTCTATCTGGGTGAAGGGGACGATGCTGCACTGCTGCTGCACGCGCGACGCACTCCATGCACATAACAATGGGTCCTGCGTGATGTTACGACATGTGTCACCGATGTAACTCGTATAATGTGGAGCACACTGCACACACACACTCGCACACATACACATATATAAAATGAATTCGGGCCTGTGTCACGTATATTGGAGCAAAGCAGCTATACGTAGCGAGCACTTAGCCGTCGACACTAGTCGGACCATAAGGCCTAATACAATGAGCTCGCTCTGTCTCTCTCTTCTGCTTGTCGAAATGCACGTAATGACACACGTCTGCAGCTTGTAATAGCTTCAGTCGCTGCTTTCTATAATATGGTGCACGTCTACTTAATACGCGTGCAACACAATATGAGCTCTTCGGATGACGATGCACTAATCGAAGCTAACACGATGTACCTTACGACAAATCCCCAATACATAGAGTGTCCAACCGATCGATGGACTATTGCTTCGTACTTGGTACAACTAAATTCATAGCAACGCGCTTTGGAGCTTATTACCTGAGCTCGCTCATCGTCGACGGAAACTCAAGAAATCGGATTCGCTGACACGGGGTCAGTCGAGCACCAGCGTTAAAAAAAAAGAAGCACTTGGATGTATCTCGCCGTCGAAAATATAATATATTATTACTAAAAATAAACTGATGCCACTCGATATAGGTGGGTCATTACGGGCGCGCATCTATTTCGCGCTACGAGTCATCAATCACGTAAATGGCATGTACCTGTGTACAGGGATGGATATTATATGCAGTATTATGTACGTATATGGATACCGCAAAGGCGGCGAACCCGCGTATGAATAATACGAGCCACGTGCTCTTTCTCATGACGCGCGCCTTCGTATTGCAACGCGAGATAACGCATGTGTGTGAATATATACTCGCAGTTTGCACGCGGATACATAAAACAGCAGCAGCCGCACGAGTAAAGCGTGGCGTTGGCGGCAGCTCTGCACGCGAAGGGGGAGCCTTTGCTCAGTGCACAGCGGCCATATTTGTATGTGTTGTACTACTTACTTGCTATCGTTGAGTATATATATGAACAATTCTACATAGAAAAAAAAGTCCGCCGTTTTAGGAATACAACAGACTCAAATTTAATTCTAGTTATTAAGCATTTATACGGTTGAGTGCGAGCTACATAATGGGATATTAGAAAAAAGAAATGCATCATGGAATGACGAAAACCTATGAAATATTCAAACGAAAATGAGCAGAAAACGTGTATCATCGAAGGTTGATGATTTGCATGTTTCGACATCGCAGCTATGTATACTTATCAACTCCAATAACTCTTTCTCGCGCGTGCATTTGCATGAAACAGCATGTACAGTCAGAATCTTTTAATTTGGAAGCAATTAGAAAGCGTAAATCTAGCGAAGTAGGGGTGATGCTCCTGTCTCAGCAAGTGTCATTGTTATTACAGTCGCCTATACAGGTGGTCCACACTAAGCTGCTTCTCCACTTTCTATGCGTAAACTATTTTTTAATGACTCCTACTCTACATAGCTCGTTTAAATTGAACCTTTCTATAAAGTTCGTAGCGCATCATCGTAGTCATTTCACATTACGACTCTGAAGTGTAAGTAGCAAAGGAAGATCGCTTGGACCGCGTGATCATTGCTTTCAATTTAGTTTTCGTTAGTGCATATCCAGTATACGTTACGACGCCGCAGAGGAAAAGAAAAAAAAGATCACCTCGACTGCAGCAAGTGGTTCTCAAGAAAAAAATTAATATTTTAAATTAATTTGTGTTCGTGCGTGAGTGCATAAAACTATGTCGTTGTCGGACGACGAAACCGATGAAAGGTTTCATTCCTGCAGAAGTCGTGTAGACGACGAAGTCGGTGATCATCATTTCAACCCCGAGGGTCATTCCAACCAAAAAAAATTGAATAACTCACGAAAAAATGTCAGTGCGGAGATTGCAGAAGATCGACGTAAAATTTTTTATTATATAAGTGCCTTTTACAGCGAGAGGAATGGAAGACTTCCACACCTCGATGATCTTTTTCGGCCTGAAGAAATAAAGTTTGTTCTTATGGAATCCGTAAATGACAAGAATGGGCCAGATCCTCGTATAGCAAAACAAATCATCGGCTTTGCAATCAAAATCGGCTACAAAGACGAGCCCGACGTCGATGAAAACGGCAATATATCGCCACATCGCACCACAGAATTGCATCATGCGGCTAAACTCAGAGGCCCTCAATGGACTATCATGATCCGGGAGTTGTTTAAAATATACAACCGATTTGACGTGAACTACACCAACGAGTCCGGCTTCACTCACTTTCATATAGCCTGTCAATACGGTGTTAACGATGCCGTCGAAAAATTCCTCGAGCTCGGTCAGGACCCCAATTGCCTCGTGCCAGAAACAGGTGATTCGCCACTGCGCTTAGCATTGACTTCGGGACATGAGAAAGTGATGGAATTGCTGCTGAGGGGCGGCGCAAATCCGAATCTGGTCAACAAAGATGGATCGACTCTTCTGCACAATATTTGCGAGTTGTTGTATGGTGATTATGGCGTGGCGAAGTTATTTTTCAAAATCAACGACGAAATCAGTCAGTCGGTGGATATCGATGCCCAGAACAATTTGGGTGACACTGCGCTACACTTGGCGCTAATGCGTAGTCGCAAGAAAGTGGCTGAGTTGTTGCTAACAAGAGGCGCCAATCCAAATGTGGCCAAC